CACAAAAACATTATACCCTGATTTCCCATTTTCAATGGGTTCAGGGTATAAAAATAATATAATATAAAAATGCATAGCATATAATTTCAGGGAATTTCACTGTTCGACGTAATCTACTTGCTCAGGTGTTCTTTTAATCGAACTGATTATCAAATTTGTATTTGGCACATGTTTCTGTTTCTGTTTTCCCTTTATTTTACAATATTTTCAATGCCTCTTTTTGTTGTTGTTGAACTGTTTGCGTAAATAAACGGAATCATACATAAAATAATGGAAACCTGGGCGAACACTTTTGATATTGCAAATGCTAAATAATACCTCTATATATATATGCAAACATATACAGATGTGTGCTCATACTATGTATATATAAACTCGTATGACCAAGCACTATATGAATCACGTATGTTCGAGTCGAGCTGTTGGCCTCCTGCCTAGAGAGATTTATCAAGTATTCGTTATCCATACTGATTTGTTGTAGCTGCTATTGTTTAATACTTTGATACACTACCGCAGAATATATCCATTTATATATACATTGTGGACTGAATCATTTATTTTGTAGACAAAGAAATGTATCTTTTGGGTGTCGAGAAAGTATCTTAAAAGAGGATTATGTGCTTTAAGCCAACTTAAATGCCTTAAAGTTTTCAAAAGCAAACTGTAATGGGTGTAATGGGACAATAATTGAATATTGGACTATATTATATAGTATGTGTGACAGAAAAGTATCTCCAAATATAGCCACATATAACTGGCAATATTAAATAACTTAAGTTAGAGCATTTGCACTTCGTCTATGTGCGTGCAACCCTTATTTCTCAATCTTTTATTTGCTATTGTTTTTTCTATCCGATTACTTCAAAGCGAAAATTTCGTTTGGTCCGAGCAAAAAAGAATGGAATGAAAAGCTAAACCACGTGTTGTCCAGGTGTTTATGTTGGCTTTTGGGAAGGTACATATATGTGTATGTATATGTATATAGACTTCTTTTTTTGCTCTTTTACAATTTCCCGTTTTGTGCCACATTTTCACTTGACGAGTTTTTTTCCGCGCAGGTTTTTGAACTCCCCATTGAACAACAACAATCATTGTTTTTGTTTGTATGTACAGTGGGGCTTACCTGTTTTGTTAGCCTTGTTTATTTAATGGCATTTTCATTACATTAATAAATGTCAAATATTGAAATTTGCGGGCTCACCCAGCTCGTGTACAGTGAAGCAAACTGCGTGTTCCTTTAAACAATTTATTTTAATTAACTAAATAAGTTGCTCAACTTTTGCCGTACAAGGTATTTTTTTAATTCTATTTAATTTGGATGTTTCTTAGAAATATAAACATATAAAATGTCAGATAATTAAATGTCAAATTTGTTTCTGATTATTAAATTTCCTAGAAATTTGTACTTAGATGAGTTTACGCTTGATTTGAATCTGGTTCTATAAATGTGTTTCATTCATATTTTCTTTTTGTGTCTGATTTGCCTTCGCCTACTGCAAAAATATTATTTTTATAAAGACAATAAACATGAAATGTAATTTCCCTTTCAATGTCGTCGTCGACGTTATTGTTGCTGTTGTTGCTGCTGCTGTGTCATAGTGAAAGAAAAGTCGCCTCCGCCCCTTGGGGTGCGTAGGCGTGCCAACATTGTTCTATTTGCCTTTGCTGCATTTGCATTGCCTGCAAACTTGAATAGTTAGCACATTTTGATATATAGAGGTTGCCTCTGTGTTTCCGCTTGTGCCAGATAATGACTGCTTAAACAGAGCGAATGTAACCAAGCACACACACCCACACACCCACATACACTCAAAGAAAGCGAGAGTAAGAGAGAGAGAGAGAGAGGAAGTTTCTGTTACAATTGTAATACTGTGTAAACTACAGTGATGATTAGCATATAAGGAAATCTATTGAAAAATGTATACAAATCTTTATATTTTTATTAAGTAATATGTAAACGTAAGGTACAATAATTAGCTTTTCATTCAATATAATTATTTTTATTATTATTACTATTATTATTATTATTATTATTATTATTATTGTTATTATTATTATT